CCTGGATGAGTGACGAAACGTTTCTCCAACTGAAAATGTCCAGATGAACAGAATCAACCTTTTGGGATTTACTTACCTGGATGATTAAGCACGCATCAAGACGTTATTTTATTAAACATTTTAAAATGTTAGCAGCACAAACAAAAATTTTTGCAGCACAAACCAGCACAAATGTTTGACATCAATTTTGTTTGATTCCATTAATATGGGGGGGCTGGTTGACCTCTAGAAATTTTTATTAATATCTTTAAAATGATAGCAGCACAAACGAAAATTTTTGCAGCACAAACGTAGCACAAACGTTTGATACCACTTTTGTTGGATTTGAAGAAGGTGGGGGGGCCAACTTCACTCACATCTTTCTCAGAGGCACCTGCAGAATAACAGAGAAAATGGGAAAAGGATAAACTCCACATTTACTTTAAAATCCTTTTGGACATGCTTATCAGAGAGATGTGAAATCAGCTAAAGCAATTTTTTTCTTGCAACTGGTAGCCAAGAATAGCCAGATGCTTTAAATTCTTGAGTCCCTGAATCCCTCCTCAATCCTTGTCACTCGGACCAGAGAGTATGCATAGTATGCAAACAGCCATCATAATCTGTCATACAATGAGAACAGGACAAATCAACAACTGACAAATCTGACTGACTCATTAATATTAAAATCTGTAACATAATGTATTGTTTGGAGTTTAGTCTGTTACTGTTGCTATTTTTACCATTTCTTCTTGCAGCAACTGTAACTCACATAATTTCCTTAGGGATTAATAAAGTATTCTGATTCTGATTGTTTCAGGATGACCTGCCATCATCCAATCACACATCTGCTTACCTGCATCTTTTGCTCGTTTCTCCTCCTCTTCTTTTCTCTTTTTTCTAAACTGAGCACCTGATGGCTTTGAACTTTGTGCGTGCACTTATGTAACACCATTGCCCTGTTGTGCATGTTCATAGACTGCACTGAGGTACAGTGTGTGCCAGCTCATTATTTTTCCCCAAAAATGTAAGAGAGCTGCTGACTGAAAACAGTAATGACTTCTGTGGCACTTAGAACAGCCACAAAGCTTCTTTAAGCTTTTATACATGATTCCCAGGTGAATGTGGTGTCAGCTTTCTGTCACTGTGCTGTCAGTCAGTTCATGTGCACGTGTATAGTTGCAGCAGGATGCTTATTTTAGTTTCAATGAACCAATACCCGAGCAGAATTGTCAGAATCCTTGAATCACAGCCCGACGAGCTGGTGTGGCAATAATCTTCCGCTCCAGCTAATTAATCAACCAACAACCCAGACAGAGTGTTAATTTCATTTGGAAACCTAAAAATGACAGCCTCAACACAGAAGTTTATCTATATTAGACTCAAATGGCTTCTCTCAAAATGTAAAAGAACCCATAACTTTAATCTCACTGTAGATCTTGTTCTGACATAGAAACTGAACATCTAACAGCATTTCCTGAAAAGCATCTTTTGTCTGATCATTTCCTAATTTCCTTTAAATTTACAATAATGGATTACACAGCAGCAGTTTTCATCACAGTAGATAGCAGTCTTTCAGAAAGTGCTGTAATTACATCTCAGGATAAAATTCATCCACTCTTATCTTCTTTAATGGCTTGTGTCTACACAGTATAGAGCAGCAGTGTGAACTCTACTCCCACATAGGCTAATCATCTTGTTGACAATTTTACATCTTCACTGTGTTGACTGTAGATTCTGTAACTCCTCCAGAAAAGAAAGCCTCAAATCAGAAGTAGCTAATTTCCTTGCGTAACATTCAAAAGCAGAAAGCTGTAGCAATGCTGATGGAAAGAAGAAATGGTACTTCAGTCATTTAGAGGATCATCATTTAGCCTGGAAAGTCAGTTTGCTGCTTTATAAAAAAAAAAAGCCCTCCTAAAACATTATTATTCATCACTGATTAAAGAAAATAAGAACCCCAGATTTGTCTTCAGCACAGTAGCCACGCTGACAAAAAGTCAGAGCTCTGTTGAGCCAACCATCCCTTTAACGTCAACTCATGGTAGCTTCATTAATTTCTTCAGAAATAAAATTTTAACCATTAGGGGGAAAATTACTCATAACAATCCCATAGATGTAATGTTACAACTACTTTCAATTCAATTCAATTCAATTTTATTTATATAGCGCCAAATCACAACAACAGTCGCCTCAAGGCGCTTCATAGATACAGAGAAAAAGACCCAACAATCATATGACCCCCTATGAGCAAGCACTTGGCGACAGTGGGAAGGAAAAACTCCCTTTTAACAGGAAGAAACCTCCGGCAGAACCAGGCTCAGGGAGGGGCGGGGCCATCTGCTGCGACCGGTTGGGGTGAGAGAAGGAAGACAGGATAAAAGACATGCTGTGGAAGAGAGACAGAGGTTAATAACAGATATGATTTAATGCAGAGAGGTCTGTTAATACACAGTGAGTGGGAAAGGTGACTGGAAAGGAAAAACTCAATGCATCATGGGAATCCCCCGGCAGCCTATATCTATTGCAGCATAACTAAGGGAGGATTCAGGGTCACCTGGTCCAGCCCTAACTATATGCTTTAGCAAAAAGGAAAGTTTTAAGCCTAATCTTAAAAGTAGAGATAGTGTCTGTCTCCCGAATCCAAACTGGAAGCTGGTTCCATAGAAGAGGGGCCTGAAAACTGAAGGCTCTGCCTCCCATTCTACTTTTAAATACTCTAGGAACAACAAGTAGGCCTGCAGAGCGAGAGCGAAGTGCTCTAATAGGGTGATATGGTACTACAAGGTCATTAAGATAAGATGGGGCCTGATTATTTAAGACCTTGTATGTGAGGAGCAGGATTTTGAATCCTGGATTTAACAGGAAGCCAAAACAGGAGAAATCTGCTCTCTCTTTCTAGTCCTTGTCAGTACTCTTGCTGCAGCATTTTGGATTAGCTGAAGGCTTTTCAGTGAGTTTTTTGGACATCCTGATAATAATGAATTACAGTCGTCCAGCCTGGAAGTAATAAATGCATGAACTAGTTTTTCAGCGTCACTCTGAGACAGGATATTTCTAACTTTAGAGATGTTGCACAAATGGAAGAAAGCAGTCTTACATATTTGTTTAATATGTGCATTGAAGGACATGTCCTGGTCAAAAATGACTCCAAGGTTCCTCACAGCGTTACTGGAGGCCAAGGTAATGCCATCCAGAGTAAGAATCTGCTTAGATACCATATTTCTAAGCTTTTCAGGGCCGAGTACAATAACCTCAGTTTTATCTGAATTAAGAAGCAGAAAGTTAGCGGCCATCCAGGTCTTTATGTCTTTAAGACATTCCTGCAGTTTAACTAATTGGTGTGTGTTATCTGGCTTCATGGACAGATAGAGCTGGGTGTCATCTGCATAGCAGTGAAAATGTATGCTATGTCTTCTAATGATGCTGCCTAAGGGAAGCATGTATAATTTTAAACAATTTAAACTTTAAATTGACATTCATTTAGACTCTTTTTCTCCAATAGATCTTTCTGAGTTAACTTCAGTAATTACTTCCTCCAAACTATCAGCATGTTTTTTTAGATCCCATTCCTACAAGACTGCTGAAATACATCCCACCATTCACTGATACCATCCATCTATCCATTTTCTTCCACTTCTCCAGGGTCCACCCTTCTCCCCAGCTACCTCCTGTAGCTTATTTGTCCCGCCGAGGAGTTCCCGGGCCAACCAAGAAATATCTCTTCAGCATTCTGGGTCTTCCCCAGAGTCTATTCACTTTGGGACATACTTGGAACACCTCACCCAGTTGGCACACAGGAAGCATTCTTTTAGATGCCTCCAGCACCTCGACTCGCTCCTTTTGATATGGAGGAGTAGAGGCTCTACTCTGCAATCCTCCCAGATGGCTGACGTACTCACCCTATCTCTAAGGGAGAGGCCAGACACCCTTCAGAGAAAGCTCCTTTCCACAATTTGTACACACATTCTCTTTCGATCACTACCCAAAGCTTGTGACCATAGGTGAGAGTAGTGACGTAGATCGACCAGTAAATTGAAAGCTTCGCTTTTACAATGAGCTCTTGTTTCACGACAACAGACAGTTACAGCATTCGCATCATTGCAGCCACCACACCAATTCGTCTGTCGATCTCTCGCTACCCTCTCCCCTCACTTGTGAACAAGACCCCGAGATTCTTTAACTCCTTCACTTGGGGCAGCAACTTGTCCCTGTGCCGGAGTGGGCACTCCACCCTTTTACAGCTGTGGAGCTTTGCTTCAGACGTGGAGCTGCTGATTCTCATTTCTGCTGCAAACCACTCCAGTGGGCCACCACTTGATGAAGCCAACAGAACTACACTGTTTGTGAAAGGCAGAGACGAGACTAAAAGTTACGAACAGAGTCAGTGACCCACGGCAACTTGCAACTTGCAGCTCTTGCAATGGTTGTATATGAACCAAATAGCGTGCTCTGGCCACCTTGCTGTGTAGGGTGAGTCAGCCCACATTGGGATGTCTAGTCTGCGTCTCCAGGGTGCACGTAGGCCAATTGGACGGGGTGGGGCACCCAGTTGAGGACGCGACCATTGCTGGGTGTGGGAGAAATTGAAGAACGCTACACTTCCCACATACTGTAGCTTGAAAATATGCATTGTGCATGATTTTAATTGTTATGCATACATTTAACAGTTGTGGCTGAAATGGTAGAGTTGGTTTATTTAGTGAAAAGATGGTGGGCCAATTCCCAGCTCTTACAGTCCCTGTGTATCTTATGTGTATCTTGGGCAAGATATCAAACCTAGACTTTCCCCCAATGCATCCACTGAAGCGTGAGTATGTAGGAGAGTGTTAGATAAAAGACCTTAGGTATGAGATAGAGATAGAGAAAGAGATGAGGGGCATCAAACTTGATACTTGTATAGAAAAGTGTCATAGAAGTGCAATAGAAGTATTAATCCATTTATGATTTACAGCATTTTTAAAAGATAATGCAGGATAATAACAGGATATATTGATTACAATACAATTGTTTAAAACTTGAACCTACTTGTGTCCCAGCTCATGAGCAATAGTGAAAGCCAAATTGAGACCATTGTCCTCAGCTAACACACACTTCTTCTTCGCACTGCAGACACCACCCAGATAAGCAATACCTGTAATACAGTTGGGTAAAATGACAATGAGTTTTATGAGTTACACTTATGATTGTGTTTTAATGTTTGACAGTGTTTGAGCAGTTAGTATAGTTAATATAATAGTTAGTATAATGAAGTTTAAAAGGTGTTTTACCTAAAACAGCTTACTGTGGATCAGTTTTTCTGTCTCGTCAGTTCAGTAGCTTAGTAAAAGGTAAATTTGTACCCATTTATTTAATGCAACACAGCAATCTGTGTTAGACGTGTCTGTCACAGGTCCCTGTTTAATTGATGCCATAGCACGATCATATTCATTCACCGTGACACATTCAGAATTCAAAGAATGCACTACAAATCTAAGACTACAAGATGTGAAAAGATCTGTCATATCCCCTGACTGCTGAAATTGGTTACATGGATATGGAATAATAGGGCGTTACTCATTTCACAGCATTGCCATAAGATAAGATAAGATAAGATAAGATAAGATAAGATAAGATAAGATAAGATAAGATAAGATAAGATAAGATAAACCTTTATTAGTCCCACATGTGGGAAATTTGTCTTGGTCACGACAGAGAGTGGACAGCACCAAGTTAAGAGCACCAAAAATTAAGAAAAAAACAATAGAATAGAATGAGATAAAATAGAATAACATACTATACAGACTAGAATAAAATACTATGTTGCCTCAGAAAAATTGCACTTGGTAATATTGCACATCAGGGAGACAGGACTAGGCTACCGTGGTGTACTGGATGTGTGTGTGTCTGTCTGCATGTGTGTGGTCATCTTTGTCTTTGTTGTAGAGTCTCACAGCAGTGGGGAGGAAAGACCTGTGGAATCTCTCCGTCTCACACCGTGGGTGCCGTAGCCACTGAAGGAGCTGCTCAGTGCTGTCAGTCTCCTGCCTGGGCTGGGAGATGTTGTCCAACAGGGATGACAGCTTAGCCGCCGTTCTCCTGTCACTCACCACCTCCACTGGGTCCAGAGGGCAGAACAGAGCTGGGCCTGCGGATCAGCCTGTTCAGTGTCTTCCTGTCCCCAGCAGAGATGCTGCCGCCCCAGCAGACCACACCGTAAAAGATGGCTGAGGCCACCACAGAGTCATAGAAGGTCTTCAGGAGTGGGCTCCACTCCAAAAGAGCAAAACAGCCTGCTCTGTCCTTTTCTGTAAAGAGCATCTGAATTGTGACTCCAGTTTACCGTATTGTTCAGATGAACACCATGGTACCTGTAGCTGTCCACAGCTTCATGTCCATGCCTTGGATGTTCAGTGGTTTCAGTGGAGGATGTTTGTTCCTGCGAAAGTCTACAACCAGCTCCTTGGTTTTTCTAGTGTTGAACATGATGCTCACAGTGCTCCCAGCGGTCTCCAGGTGAGAGAACAATGTAGGAGGTGAATGATGGCATCATCCACTCCAGTGCCAGGCTGGTAGGCAAGCTGAAGTGGGTCCAGTGATGAGCTCACCAGGGGCTGAAGCTGAACCAGGACAAGCAACTCCAGGGTCTTCATCAGGTGGGATGTCAGAGCCTCTGGCCTGTAGCTGCAGAGGTCCTACAACTACAGGCCGGAGTCCTGCAGAGGTCCTTGGGACGTGGGGTCTTTGGCACTGGTACCACACAAGAGGTTTTTCAGAGCTGTGGAACTCTCCATAAGCTTCAGACTGAAGCTTACCACACAGTTGATTTGCGCAGGACCTGACAACCCTTGAGCTGATGGTATCTGGTGCCTTATTGGCTCCTTAGTTCCCTCCTAACCTGGATGGCTGACAGAGACAGGCTGGAGCCGTGTGTTGGATGTGTACTGGATGCTGTGGTTGGGGGTGGGGAGTAGTGAGCAGGTTGAGTGGAGGAGATGTGAAGTGTCTGAGGTGTCAGAGGTGTAACAGCAGGAGTTTGAGTTGGTGTGTCTGCAGCCGATGTTGAAGACTGCATCAAACCTGTTGGTTTGATTCAAAGCTGGTTTTCCTTCTTCTGCCTTTAGCTCTCCTTCCCATTCCCGATCAGTCCTTTCAGATCTCTCTGCACCCTTTTCACCCCCTTTCTTGTCTCCAGATTTGAAGGCCCTCCACTTCTGCTTGAAGACAGCTTTTATTTCTGGGGTAATCCAAGGTTTGTTGTTGGACAAGCACCGCACAGTCCTGGAGGGCACGGTGTTATCCACACAGACGTTAACGTAGCCCGTAACGCAGGTCACATGTTGTTGGCGCTCCAGAAGACCCTGGTGGTATGTGTCCTCTATTGATGGGAAGCCTGCTCCTGTGATGTACTGATTAAATGATTAAATCACTGTATACACATTCCTTCTGTCAGTAAAGTCTTCCAGCAACCTAATAGTAATGCACATAAGTCTGATCAAACAGTGATGTGATGGCTCCCAGAGCTGGCAGCACAGTGAGCCAAACAGACTCAACAGGCTTCTGGGCTGACCACACTGTACTTCCCACCAGCAGCTTATCGTGGTTGATAGGAGTCAGCGTGGGCACTCTGACTGTTCTGCAGCTATGCAGACACATATTCAACAAACAAAGTGTTGCAAATACTTTGTATTCTGACATCTTTCTATCAGAACCAGCATCAATTTTGGGGCATTTGAGCTGTAATAGCTTGCCTGTTTGATTGGACCACACAGACCAGCTTTCACTGCATGCATACATCAGTGAACCTGGGCTGGTCGTGACCCTGTCACTGGTTCACCATTGTTCCTTCCTCCGACTGTTTGACAGATATATCTATTAACACCCATAAGAGCTGCAGTTTTGAAAACCTTGACCTACTCATCTAGCAATGACAATTTGACTATCGTCAGACTTGCTTAAATCCTTGCTTGATTCATGTATGCTCATTTTTCGTGCTTCTGTTAGCTGGGTCCCTCATAGATCCCACCCACCAACAGGTGCTATGTCCATCAGATATTCTTTTTTTTTTCAATTCACCTGCCAGTGGTCTTAATGTTATGCCTTATATCAATATATAATCTATAATCATTTTAATTAATAATTTTTTTTTATTTTTAAAATATTACAGAACGGAATAGGACTGGGGGGGAGGAGAGGGAAACACGTAGACAAGAGAAGTTGGGAAGAACCTCAAGAGAAGCAGGAGGAAAGAAAAACAGAGGGGAAGAGGGTCGGGGAGAAAAGACACTAAAAATCTTCTAGATCACCTGTTGGAAAAAAAAAAGAAAAGAACAAGCAAAAAGAGAACAACACAGTAGGGAACCCACAGCAATAACCTAGATAAGCACAAGTAACAATAAATAATAAATACTGAATGCTACTGAGCGCAGATTAGACCGAAAATGCATGATATGCTTAGAGGCAGCAGCCAAGGAAGACAGTGTATATTTGTGCACACCTGTATGCACACAGGTAGATATATATATATTCTATTTTGCAACTTTGTAATATATTCTGTTATTTAATTTATTTCTGTTACTGTTCTTATTATTGGAGCAATTAATTTCTTAATTAATAAAGTATTCTGATTCTGAAAAAGAGTTTTGACAGTGTTTTGTATGCTTAGTTTTTGAGATCCAGTATCAGAGAAATATTAATACTCAACTCAAAATGTTTTGTCTTGCCATGAAGACAACTGTCAGAATTGTTGTCATGTCTTCTTATTGAAGAAGACATGACGATCACATTTTACAGTATACTCATTCTGGTCAGACTTTTCAGTCACTCAAAAGCCTGTAAGCCTGATCTTTGCTTGCCAGTCATATTAGCAATAATGATGACATAAACTGTGCAACTGAAATTGTAAAATGAGAGCTTTTGCATACGGGACACTTGTTCTTGTATGAAGAGACAAAAGCAGGGAGGCTTGTTTTTTCTGGTAAAGTGAAATTAATGATTATAAAGAACTCAGTGTGAGGTTTGGGGTCCTACAGTTTACTATTATCTATCATTACATGTTCCTTCAACAGAAATAATCAACGTGACAGAAGCACAAAGAAATCTTCCACATTCATCACGACGTATTACAGAGATTTTTATAGTTGAGGAAAACATGAAAATAAATGGTTCAATTTTATCAAATGTTTAATGATCTCATTTTTTTTGCACTCAATGGACTTTTGAAGTTTAAAGCATGAGGGAAAAGGAAATGCAGGTGGCAGGGTTTCCTGCAGCTGAACCTTTGAGTTCTGTGATTATAGTGAGGGTTCAAGTATGTCTTATGTCAGCTGAGTGAGTGGTACTCACCCACAGTATCACATGGCTCATCTTTGTGAACACAGAAATCTGTTCTGAAAGAAGAAAAGAAAGAATTTGCAACACTGATTTACTGAGATTAGTTAAAACATTAAAGTAGAGTGCATTTACACTTAATATGGATTGTGCTAGAAAAATGATGTCATGGTCCAGCGGCAGACCGTATGGAGCGTGAGTGGAGGACCCAAATGCTTGAACAAAAGGCGAGCCTTTATTGGGCTAATACAAGAGAAACATAAATACAAGGCAAGATCCATGTGGGGTGAAACTAAAACTAAACATAAACTGGAAAAAAATAAATAACTGACAAGCTGTGATGAGACTGTGAAACTGGGAAACAACTATGAACCTATAAAACTATGACAATAACTATGACAACTATGACAAGAGGTACATGACTAGACGAGAAGAACAGACATCCTTACAAAGACTGAATGACCACACAGAGACTAAAGACGCACAGGAGGTAATTAGGGGAAGTGGAAACACACGAACGTCATGACACCCACAGGGAAAGTGAAACTAAAACAATGAACATATCATCACAAGACCTCTACAAAACAACACAGGAAACGCTGAGAGACGTAGACATGGCACCGGCTTGAGAACATGAAACCACACACACAGAAGACATGAACAGACTTATACCAGGGGATATGAAGAGACTCATAACTAAGGAGACATGACAGGACCTAAACCAGGCAACTCAAGGCAGTTAATAATAACGCTAAAACATAAATAATCCCAAAATACAAAATAACTCAACTAAACCCTTAACTTAAAACTCGCACATGAATTAAACACAATATAAACATAAGAAAACAATACAAAATATCCATCCATCCATCCATCTTCATCCGCTTTATCCGGGGCCGGGTCGCGGGGGCAGCAGCCCAAGCAGAGAGGCCCAGACCCCGGTGGGTCATGACTGGAACACCTCACCCAGGAGGCGCCCAGGAGGCATCCTTGTCAGATGCCCGAACCACCTCAGCTGGCTCCTTTCGATGTGGAGCAGCAGCTGCTCTACTCTGAGCCCCTCCCGGATGGCCGAACTTCTTACCCTATCTCTAAGGGAGAGGCCAGCCACCCTTTAGAGGAAGCTCATTTCTGCCGCTTGTATCCGCGATCTCGTTCTTTCGGTCACTACCCACAGCTCGTGGCCATAGGTGAGGGTAGGGACGTAGATCGACCGGTAAATTGAGAGCTTCGCTTTTACACTCAGCTCCCTCTTCACCACGACGGACCGGTGCAGCGTCCGCATTACTGCAGCTGCAGCCCCAATCCGTCTGTCGATCTCCGGCTCCCTTCTCCCATCACTCGCGAACAAGACCCCGAGATACTTGAACTCCTCCACTTGGGGCAGGAACTCATCCCCGACCCGGAGTGGGCACTCCACCCTTTTCCGGCTGAGAACCATGGCCTCAGATTTGGAGGTGCTGATCCTCATTCCCGCTGCTTCACACTCGGCTGCGAACCGTTCCAGTGCCAACTGGAGGCCCTCACCCAATAAAGCCAACAGAACCACATCATCTGCAAAAATCAGAGATGAGATTCTGAGGCCACCAAAGCGAAAGCCCTCCGCCACTTGGCTGCGCCTAGAAATTCTGTCCATAAAAATTATGAACAGAACCGGAGACAAAGGGCAGCCCTGGCGGAGCCCATCACCCACCGGGAACGAGTCCGACTTATTGCCGGCAATGCGAACCAAGCTCTTGCAACGGTTGTATAGGGATCGAATGGCCCGTAGCAATGGGCCAGACACCCCATACTCCCGCAACACCTCCCACAGGACACCCCGAGGGACACGGTCGAATGCCTTCTCCAAGTCCACAAAACACATGTAGACTGGTTGGGCAAACTCCCATGCACCCTCAAGTATCCTGGAGAGGATAAAGAGCTGGTCCAGTGTTCCGCGACCAGGACGAAAACCGCATTGTTCCTCCTGTATCCAAGGTTCGACTAACGGACGAACTCTCCTTTCCAGCACCCTGGCATAGACTTTCCCAGGGAGGCTGAGGAGTGTTATCCCCCTATAGTTGGAACACACCCTCCGGTCCCCCTTCTTAAAGATGGGGACCACCACCCCGGTCTGCCAGTCCACAGGTACTGCCCCTGATCTCCATGCAACATTGCAGAGGCGTGTCAACCAGGACAGCCCTACAACGTCCAGAGCCTTCAGGAACTCGGGGCGGACCTCATCAACACCAGGGGCTCTGCCACCAAGGAGTTGTTTAACTGCCTCAGTGACCTCGCCCCCGGAAATTGGCGGGTCATTCCCCTCATCCCCAGACTCTGCTTCCTCCTCGGAAGACGTGTCAGTGGGATTAACGAGGTCCTCCAAGTATTCCTTCCACCGCCTGACAATTTTCTCAGTCGACGTCAGCAGCGCTCCGCCAGCACTATACACAGTGCAGGTAGAGCACCGCTTTCCCCTCCTGAGACGTCTGACGGTTTGCCAGAATCTCTTCGAGGCAGTCCGAAAGTCTTTTTCCATGGCCTCTCCGAACTCCTCCCAATACAAAATAACACAAAACAATATATCCGATTGGGTTTAAATGAATCTAAATGATTGAAGCCACCTCATAAGATGTGTGTTGTTAAAAATTTTTGCAGCAAATGCAAGTTGCTCTTCTGGACTTCACGATAAAGGGAAAACAATAAAGCAGTGAAAGCTAACCAACTTTGGTGCTAGCAGTATAGACCAGTAAGCTAACAAATTATACTGAGGAAGACAAAGAGAGAAGCCAAATAGGTAGATTAGGACAAGATAAGGAAATGGGCCCATCACACTCTGGACACAACCTGTTACAACTCCTCCCCTATGGTAGGCACAGAGTACACCAAAACAACCAGACACCTGTACAGATCCTTGCTACAGACCATCACTCTGGTGATGACTCCACCACACCTGCTAGTGAATTACAGTGTGCCATATGTACTCCTAAACAGCTGATTCTGTTCACCTGGACGTAGCATATTCAGCGGGAGAAACATTTCATCAAACACTTCTTCAGTCTCGGCTAAATGCAGTTTTCCCCAACATTATAAACAGTACATTTGCGTAATAACTAAGAGGGCTATGAGGTCGTTTTCTTGATCATTAATTGTCATCACCATTGATCAATAGCCACTGATCAAAGATCACTGATCAATGGCCATGAGTGACTTGACTCCCTGCTCAAACCAGCATTCCTCCCTTTCAAGTATGTGTACATCATAATGGAAAGAGTGGCCACTGGCCTGTAAGTGTAAATAGACTGAATATATATGTTTTTAAATTCCTCTCTTGCCCCTGTGGGCAGTCGATCCCTCGAGCTCGGGTTCTACACCAGAGGCCTGGGAGCTCGAGGCTCCTGCACAGCATCTTTGCTGTTCCTAGGATAGCTTGGGGGTTGTTGAGTGCTCTTATTACCACTGGGACCACTGTTACCCTCACCCTTCACATCATCTCGAGTTCTTGGTACTTCCTCAGCTTCTTCCTGATGTTACTGTCATTCAGTATAGCCACATCTTTCACTATGGCTGTCTTCTTCTGCTTGCCCACCAATACTAGGTCTGGTTGGTTAGCCATCACCAGTTTGTCTATCTCTATCTGAAAGCCCCACACCATCTTAGCGCCGTCATTCTTGACCACCCAGGAATCCCATTTTGACCTCGGGACTTCCAGGTTATACTCGGCACAGATGTTCCTGTACACTATGCCGGCCACTTGGTTATGGCGTTCCATGTATGCCTTGCCTGCTAGCATCTTACACCCTGCTGTTATGTGCTGGATTGTCTCTGGGGCATCTTTACACAGCCTGCACCTGGGGTCTTGCCTGGTGTGATAGACCCCAGCCTCTATGGATCTTGTGCTCAGAGTTTGTTCTTGTGCTGCCATGATTAGTGCCTCTGTGCTGTCTTTCAGTCCAGCTTGTCCAGTCACTTTTAGGATTTCTGGATGTGAGTCATTTTTTTTCTATCTGCCAGTGGTCTCTCCTTCCATGATGGTTCTTCTCCTCGCTTCACTTTTTCTTGGGTTTCTGCTGTCTCTGTCTCTCTGATTCTGATTCTGACAGAGCTGAATTTTAAGTATAATGGCAAAGGCTGTTAAAACTTTATATTATAATTTATAACTAATATAAATTAGCAAAGAAATTCATGCAAATTGATAGGTTTGTAGCTTAAACCTATTCGCTGGAACGCTCAAGACAATTCAACTGCACAGCAAAAAGCATTGAACACCAAGCAGAGCTCTTTATGATTCTTGTACACGAGGGAGACCAAGTGGACAAGCGCCGTTCCTTCCCTTGACCCCAGTCGCTCTTGTCTGCTACCCTGTAACACTGCTCTTTTATATAGACATAGGTTCATTAACATATGACGTCTACATACACACAAAGAGTACCTTGCCTGTGCATTGTGTAAGTGTGTGTGTGTGCGTGCGTGCGTGCGTGTGTGCGTGCGTGTGCGTGTGCGCGTGCGTGTGTGCGTGCGTGCGTGCGTGTGTGTGTGTGACCCCATAACCAACTTCCCTAAACCTGCTGGTCTAGAAGTCCGGACGTTTATCCTACCATGAAACAATAAGAGCAGGTAGACCTCTCCCATGCTCCCAGGATGTGGGTGTGAATGCCAGAACCCTCTGGAATGCACACAAAGTCTTTGCAGACTGCTAAGGATCAGACCCCAATCAATATGACATCGACTATAAACTCTAAGCATATATGAGTAAATATTTCTAAGCATAAATGACAATCAACAATACAAATCTAACATTTATTGCACATACAAACATCAGGAGATAACCTCAAGGATGAGAACTTTTCTGTAAGTGTGATTGTCTTCATAAGAAGTTTGTGAGTTCCCAAGGAAAGGTAATACATCATGAGCATAAAGGCTTACTTTATGGTCTGTATTTTCAGTTTTAACTTGACATTTTGTCGAATTGGTGCTGCTAGTGGCTCAATGAAAATGACAAAAGTGAGGGGGAAACTGGACAGGCCTCGTCTGGCGCCTCTTTGTAGCTGGAAGCTTTGGGAAGTAGGATGGTTAGTTATAGCACAAGCATTTGTGAAGCCTTATAGTGTTTTGATCCAATCGATGAAGAATGAACCAAATAGGTTATAAGTAAGGTTCCCAGTCGAATCCTTAATAGAGTAAATCTTTTTTTTTCTTTATTTAGCTTTGACTGGTTAACAAACATTTTCCAGATTTATTACCATGTCCAAAGTTCTCCAAATGCAACCTGGTGTATTAAGTCTTCCATAGGGCTGGGCGATATATCGAGTTTTTTAAAAATATCGATATATTTTCATACGAGATATAAGATGTGACAATATCGTTTATATCGATATAGTCTATGTTACGTTGTGGAGCCGCAGGTTTGCCTCTCTTTCGTCCACTTTTGTCTCTACGCAACGTTACTCGGCCTCGCCTCTCCTTCACTGAATACAACTCCCCCTCCCCCATAGCTTCACCTGCAGGCAATGACAAGATGAAAGCGGAAAATCTAATTAAACATTTAAACAATTAAACATTTAGAGCAGAAGGATTCTGCTCTAAATGTAAAATACTCACACGAAGCTTTTCTCACTTATACTTTGATTATTACCGGCAAAGATATTGAATGTAGGATAGATTCTGGTGCCACGCACTCATCATCAGAGCAGCTGACATTCCTGAGCAACCTGCTCTGAAAGGCCATTTCATGTGTTCTGTGCAGAGATTGATGTCTTATTTTACACCTCATGGCATTAAGGGTTATAAAAACAGAAAACATTGTCACATCTCAAACTTCGACATGATTGAGGACCAGTATATATATGAATGGCTGCTGGTAATCACACTCTTTGTGCAGCTGTTCTTCAGAAGGCTCATAAGCATGTCTCAGCATCTCTCACAGAAGTTGATTTTATGCTACCAACAAACTTGAATTGTATTGCATCTCTGCAGGTCCTGACATAAGATTTGAAACCCAGTGGTTAAAAGTGTTTAATTATGTCATCACTGCTGACTGCATGTACTGGCAAGACAGCACGTGCTTCTTCACTGTCTGTCTCACCCCACCTCAGTGGGAGTTATTCAGTATTTATCATTCTGCACCTCACACATCTCTGAGCAAACAAACATAAATGCTGCCAAGACATTGGTGTATTTGCCTATAAGTATCAGGCAGCACATGATTGGACCCTAATAGAACAAGACAGAGTTTTGTATTCACCATCTTCTATGGCACTGGTCTGGCCTGGGGAGTGGGGGAACTGCGGAGTCACATTTATATAATGCTCAGGTTTTTGCTCTGACGGGGAACAACAGTCAGACTCAATAACATGGCAGCTCTCTTCCTCACAGTGAAGTTCTAAGAAGCTTTAAAACAGTTCATAGCTGCATACCTGGTGACCAATACAGCACTGTCCACTGGAGGGATATCATCTCTTCCACCGGGAACATGGTTGGTACCAAGGTACCAAGGCCCACCAAATTCTTGATGCTGCCAGTGACAGAAGCTCTCCAGAGATCTTTCTCCATGATGGCCCACCTTTAGCTTTTCCTGGAGAACAAAGACACTAAATTAATTTAATTCTGATAATAATGAAAAAAAAAATTGGGACTTATGCACAATGAACATTATGTCATTAGGCTAGTTGGTTTGACACAACAAAATGGCTGAAGGCGAAGCCAATAGGTGCTTTGATAACCTACTCAAAAACCCAATGGCCAGTGAGGAGGATAGAACAGCATGTGAGTCCGTCTGCTGTAAGGAAGCTTCCTTGGATCACTTGTTTGGGAATCTTCCCTGCATAACCATGATGTTTTAGAAGGGACACACATCTTCCAAAAAGTTCAATTTTTATCTTATCAGTCCACAGAGTGTTTCCAAAAAAGTTTAGGGGATCGTCAAGATGTTTTCCGGCAAAATTGAGACAAGCCTTTATGTTCCTTTTTCATTTTAGAACTCCATTGTTGCTCAGTCTCTTTCTTATGATGGAGTCATAAACACTAACCTTAACTGAGGCAAGTGAGGCCTGCAGTTCTTTGGATATTGTTCTGGGTCTTTTGTAGCCTCTTGGATAAGTCACCGCTGCACTACTCTGGTAATTTTGCTCTGCCAGCCACTCCTGAGAAGGTTCATCACTGTTCTATGTTTTGACTTTATAGCCTTTCCCAGACTAAGAGATCTCAATTACTTTGTTTCTTATTTGCTGCTGAATTTCATTGGATCTGCAGATGGTCTAATGATGCTTTGTTTAGGCAGGTGAATGATGAATGGTAAATGGTAAATGGCCTGTATTTGTATAGCGCTTTACAGTACAGTAATCCAATCTTGAAGAAACAAAAGCATGAATAACAGTTTCCAAGTCTGTTTGCGGGATAATATTACTTAGCTTAACAATATTTTGTAACTAATATAAACATGAATTAACCAGAGTATGAACATGAACATCTGAGGGAAACCAGACTCAAAATTTGCCCCGATGTTTCTGATGGAAGACTTGGCATAAGAGGCTAACGGACCAAGAGTTTCCATTATTGAAATTTACGCTCTTCTGGAGCACAATCAGGAATTTCAGCTTTTCCTGATTAAGTTGAAGAAAAGTTTTATCCATCCAGACTTTTACAAACCCTAAGCACTTGTGTAAGACATGCAGATTCAATACCTCATTAGGCTTAAAATGGATGTATAAATGAATATAATCTGTGTAGCAGGTATATGAGACCTCTACTCAAAATGTGTTGAAGAGGGATCATGTAAACCAGAAATAGTAAGGTCCCCAAAAAAGAACCCTGAGGTACACCAAAATTAAGATGGCTTAAGGAAGACCTATAATTGGAAGCAGCCACACAAAGAGAACAATCAGAAAGATATGAAGTAAACAGTTGTAAGGCAGATCCTGATACACTGGCCCAATACCTCAACCTGTCAAGATCTGGTGATCACTGTATCACCAGATCTCGCTTGGTTGATACAGTGGTTGAGAACAGAACAATTTCCTGTGTCACTTTGCACCAAAACATCATTAGACACTCTGACAAGAGCTCTCTCCTTTAAATGTCCTTTACAGAACTCAGATTGAAATTTATCAAGAATGCTGTATTTATCTAAAGCAGCAGTTAGCTTAGCTTATCAATAATCTTGGTAAGAAATGGTAATTTAGAGATTGGTCTATAGCTGACCAATAGAATGGGTCAACTTTGGGCTTTTTTTTAGTATAGGATGAATAACAGCATTCTTGAAGTAAACCGGACTTAACCAGAGGCCAGAGAGGGATTAGCCATGTGCGTACAAGAACAGATGGACCGAAAAACATCTTTAAACAGGGATCCAGGTAAAATGTCTAAACAACAAGAAGAGGCTCCACAGCATATGGTCATAGTGAATTCTGTCTCTAGCTTACTAACATAAACCAATGTAAAACAGCAAACCAACCAACCTCATGACATAACATTCTGTAATGACAGAGGACGGCGCTAAACATGTTTTTTAAACTTAAATTTTAAGCACTTATTTCTTACATTCAGCTTCACAGACAGTATTTAACAATGCTCGAGCATGGTTTAAACTGGCTTTTATGTATGTCTGTGAAGGTTCTCAGTCATCCAGGTCATCGTAGTCTAAGGAGCTTGCAAAGAAAAGCGTCTGGACTTCTTTAAGTTGCTTGAAGACGTTTCACCTCTCATCCGAGAAGCTTCTTCAGTTTTTCGCTTCCACTTATCCTTTTCAGGGTCGCGGGGGGCGCTGGAGCCTATCCCAGCTGTCATAGGGCGAAAGGCGGGGTACACCCTGGACAGATCGCCAGTCTGTCGCAGGGCTAACACATAGGGACAGACAACCATTCACACTCGCATTCACACCTAGTGGCAATTTGGATTATCCAATTAACCTATCCCCACAAGCTGCATGTCTTTGGACGGTGGGAGGAAGCCGGAGTACCCGGAGAGAACCCACGCAAACACGGGGAGAACATTCAAACTCCACACAGAAAGACCCCGGCCTGATGGTGGAATTGAACTCAGGACCTTCTTGCTGTGAGGCAACAGTGCTAACCACCGTGCCACTGTGCCACCGTGCTGCTTCTTCAGTTCTAAGGTCAAATGGTGGAG